AAAAAGTAAGCCTTTTAAAGAAAGGACCATAAGAGACGGGCATATCTTCAATGGAGTGCATTGAATCAGGAACACAAATGTTAAATCATGGATTTCTCAAGATACACATAGATGTATAATTCTCTTAAAAGAATTTGCACTTAATCTTGAATGTGTATATTCAAAATGGCTAACATTATGAAATAATAAGCAAAACATAAGGTTATACATACAGTATAAATTACAAATTGATATGCCTAGAGGGAAAAAAGTCCAGAAGGAAATAATGCTAAAGATATTAGAAAGTGGTGATATACAGGAGGTAATAGAATACATGGAAGTAAGCCTCACTAATAATAAAAAAAATCAGTGACTTTTATACCTGTACGTGATTTATTGATTTATTGCTATTGATAAAAAGAATACATCTCTTGACTGGATTAAAAAGATGTAGTAAATGTACTCCACGCAGTGGAATATTACTCAGCAACCAAAAATAAACACATGCCTTTTGCAGCAACATGGATGGAGCTGGGAAAGGTCATACTTAAGTGAAATAAGCCAGAAGAAAAAGAAATATACCGGATGGTTTCACTCATAGCAGGAGTATAATGGGCCAGGCGAGAAAATAATAATAATAATGAACAGCTATATACCAGAGACATTTTATGGGGGTAGAGTGGGGAATGGGATCAGAAACAGTGGGGAGAAGGAAATAACATTGGACTATGGTGATGGCACATGGATGACTTGGTGATGGGAAGCTCATGAGTTATAACTGAGATGAAAAAATGCACAAAATGATGTAAAAATATTGTATTTTTAAAAATAATACATCTCTTATGCTATTCATTGGCATTTAATAAGAATTTGGAAAATACAGAAAGACTTGAAGAAAACAAGACACTTATAATTTCTCAGGCCCCAGTTTGCTAGACATACTGTTTTCATGTATTTCCCATTCTTTAAAGATACACAAAAACTGATATATATCTGTTTTGAAATAATAGGTACCAAAAAAAATTATTGTCAAATAATTGGAAGCAACCTGAAAATATGCACAGTAGAAGAATCAGTTTAAATGATTACCTATTAACTCAAATGTAATAGATAGTTCTTAAAATACAGTAATAAAATACAGCTTCAAAAGAAAGTGTCTTTAATCTGTTACATGAAAAAAAAAAGATGTATTTGAAATGCTATATATCGAGCTGCTTATTTAAATAAATTTTTTAAAAAGATTTATTTATTTGTACATACAGAACTGGGGTACAGGCCAGAGGCTCCGGGGTTGCCTTTTGCAGCAACATGGATGGATGGGAGTGGGGAGCATAACAGGCAGATGGACAAAGTATACTGCTAAGGGGAGCAGCGGGCGGGTCAGGAGAGGTCTGCCACGCCATGTGGTCACATCCGGGGCAGGCGGGAATCGAACCCATGCGGAAGTGGCTTCAGCTTCTCAGTGCAGTGCTTTAACCTGCTGTGCCACCAGGGAGGGCCAGTTTGTTTTTTGTTTTTTTTTTTTTTTAAGATTTATTTATTCGTACAGAATTGAGGTACAAGCCAGAGGTGCAAGAGCAATGAGAGGATTCACCAGAGACACAGTAGGGAGTAGAACAAGCAAATCAAGGAAGTACACTGCTGAGGGAAGCAGTGGGCGGGTCAAGAGAGGTCTGCCACACCATGTGGATCACCTCCAGGGCAGGGGATCAAACTCTGGGGTTCCAGCCAGTTTGCAGTGCTGCGTCCTAACCCATCGCATCAGCAGGGAGCGCCCTAAATAAATTATTTTTATGTCCTTAAATTCTGCTTGAAATTTCATACATCTTACATTGTAGGCTTCAGCCTGCTTTCTTTTCTAGTTTTCCTAAACAGACTAAGTGCACCCTTAGATATTATCAAGTACTTTTAACGTTTATTTATTTATGCATGTAAGAACTGGGATATAGGCCAGAGGTACAGGGGCTAGAGGGCAAGAGGATTCATCAGAGACAAGAGTGGGGAGCAGAACAGGCAGATTGACTAAAATACACTGATGAGGGAAGCAGCAGGTGGGTCTGGAGAGATCTGCTGTGCCATGTGGGTCACATCCCAGGCTAGGAATCGAACTCATGCTGCAGTGGCTGCAGATCACCTCATAGTGCTGTGCTTTAACCCATTGTACCACCAGAGAGGTCCCCAAATTGTATTTTAAGAAGCAGTACTGTCTTTTTAAAAATCTGTCACCTCTGGCTCCAAACACTTCATCTCTGGTAAGAAAGCAATAAAGATTCGTTCAAGATTAATTCCAATTTTAGAACTGAGGCTTTATGGGATATGCAAAGGGATTTCCCAATATCCAGTCAAAATAGTCAATCAGAAACATAAATAATAATACAGTTGTAGAGTAAGATTTTAAGAATTAAGAATTAAATCCTTGAACACTGCAAATGGAGAGAAGTCCTGAAGAACAAGTTATATACAAGATGTTAATAAGAAAATAACACCTGTTTTATATCCTGAATGGATTCATTTAATCAAAGTGCAAATTAAATACTGTTTGCATAGGTTTTCTTTTTGGCTATATAAAATCTGCAGTTTGATACTGTGGATTACATAGTTGATAAATAGTAGTTGGAGAACTACTACTATGTATAAGCTATGTAACTGCTATGTATAATGAGTTGTAAATCCAAAAATGTTCTTTTTATATCGTATCTCAGAAAAGCTGTGTCATTCATTGGCATTTTATAATATCTTAGAGTGTGATTACATCTCAAAAAAACAAAACTGATCTTCTAGAACACCTATAGGACTCAGTATCTTATATAGTATAGATATCCCAGATGTTTCTAAAATTTGGATTTTCACATGAAGAGACAGTTTGGGAGCTGGATTACTTTAAAGAAGGTTTACAATATAATAAAATGTTACCATTTTAATATATAGCATATGAAGTGTCAGTTTCTGTAATGAAACTTGAAACCTAGTTGGTCAGAGGTCTCAGTTTTCCTTCACATACTTAGTGACTACATGTGTGCAACAAACATTGCAACTAAGAAAAGATACCAACCTAGGAAGAAAAAAATACCAAATCTGGCAGTACTTTGACTGTACTTATACTAACAGGTGGGATACAATTACATTTTCATTTACTTAACATAAATTTTAATGTACTTAAAAATATGTAGGAATCGAGCCTACTGTTTTCTCCATTGTACTAAAGGAGATAACTGGCATCAAGTCTAAATCATAGACAAGAAAACTAAGGGGTACAACTTTTTTTTAAGTTTTATATACAGCTAACGCTTTTTTGTTTTGTTTTAAGTAGAAATCTATTTAATGAAATGCAAACGATGTTAAAATATTTGACATGGAAATATTCATTGTCTAAATTCAACATCTCAGATGAAGGCTACAAAAAAGTATGTCAAGTTTTTGTAAAAATAAAATGTGCATAGTGTAATGAAAAAGTCTTAAGGACATAAAATGTGAATATTTTCTTTTTTACTTTTCTGCATTTCTGTAGTATACACATATTAACCTGTATATTCTACTTGGTGGTTTTTTTTTTATGTAAGTTAATAGAATTTGAGGTCAGTAGAAAAATCCTCATTACTAAACATCAATTTGAACTGAATTTTATAAAAAATAATTTCAAGTTTTTTAAGTGCATATGCTCAAAGCCAAATCTCATCATTTGGTACAATTTTTGTTTGAGAATCAAATGATCATGTAAATAAGGATGCAAAAGGCCCCAAATGGCAGGAACACAAGTGAAAAAGTAACTGTAATCTTTGTTCTGTGGTTACTGTAGTATAAGAAAAAGTGACCAAAAACACTTTTATTTTAGTCTGTTAGAGAACACACTGCTCTTTTTCTGAGATAATTATGATTAACTTACAAAAGTGGGCATTTACAATGCATTTTCAAAGCATTTCCCTTTAATGGGAAACTTAGCTGCACAGAATCCAAACATTAAAAGGTTTAAAACAAATTTTCTATTTCGTTGTCATCATAAGACAAAACAGAATCTAGCATAAGTCAAGGAAATCCATTCATACTCCCAGTCCTTCTCCAGAAACCAGCAGTGTTAATATTATTTCCATTTAGCAGAATCTAATGTAACTTAGTAATTCTTCCTTCTGGCATTTCAAACTCAGTGACATCTTCCAATACCATATTGACAAAGTCATCAAATCCTAGAAGCATACCAACAATTTCTTTCTCGTTTCATCACAGTGTGAATTCTTGATCTTGCACATTTTGTCCACGAGCTCTCCTTTGTAGAAATTAACATGACTGTGATTTTATACTATTTTAGATTATTTGATTAGCACATTAGATGCTAAGCTCTGTGAGAGCCACAAGGGTTGTTTTTTCCGCATCACTGTGTCCATAATGGACTAAAAGAAGCAGCTGAACAAGTTAGTGGTAGCATTAGCTGCCGTGGCTATGCTGAAAGTGGCCCACAGTTTAGGTTTTAATTCTCATGTACTTGAAGGATATATTTTTATTCTGACATTTTTAACCAATAGTCATGTTTTGCATAATCAAACTGCTTTTGCTTTTATTTAGGTTTATTGTCCTTTGTGCATATAGTTTTGAAACATATAGGACATTTTGTGATGTTAGTTAAACCCTTTAATGTTAGTAGTTCTTAATCTTTTTTTGTGTGTTGAAGAATTTGAAAGTTAATCTCTTTCTAGAAAAAAATGTACACTCTGAAAGTTTTGCATGACAGTTTAGTAACCAGTGTTTCCTCTTGGTCCCATGGGTTTTAAAATTCTGTTTTACATCATACTTTCATACATTTTTTGATAACATGTATTGTGTGTACTTTGTGTGCTTTTAAAGGTCAAAGCATATGATCCTGTAACAGCTTTTCCACAACACTATACCTGAGTTCTTTAGATATTCCTACTACTATATATAAATCTGAAATTTTTCCTGAATTGTTTGAAATATTAACTGTATACACTCTCAGTCTTATTTCTCACAATTGTCTTTTAGCCAAAAATGAATTTTCTTTCTAATTCTAGATTCTGAAGAGGCTCAGTCTGTAAATCCTTCAAGTATTGATGAAAATATTGACTCTGAGACAGAGAAAGACTCTCTCATTTGTGAAAGTAAACAAATAATCCCTAGTAAAGCACCTCTTCCATCTGCCCTTGATGAGTATGAGTTTAAAGATGATGATGATGAAGAAATAAATAAAATGATTGATGACAGGCATATTCTTAGGAAAGAGACACGAAAAGAAAATGAATCTGAAGTAGAAAAGAATAATTTATTTGCAAAACAGGAAAAAACTTTCTATCCTAAATCATTTAAAAGTAAAAAACAAAAGCCATCTAGGGTTTTGTATTCAAGTTCTGAAAGTTCTGATGAAGAGATTCTTCAAAGTAAAAAGGTTTCTGCTCAATGTTCTGTCCCTGAAACATCAAATTCTGAGCTACAAGCCAAAAAGGAATATGGAGTCTCTAATGAGCACAAACAAAAAGGCAAAGTTAAAAGAAAATTAAAGAATCAGAACAAAAATAAAGAGAACCAAGAGCTAAAGCAAGAAAAAGAGGGGAAAGAAAACACCAGAGTAACAAACTTGACAGTTAACACTGCACTAGATTGTTCAGAAAAGACCAGAGAGGAGGGGAATTTTAGGAAATCTTTTAGCCCAAAAGATGATACTTCATTACATTTATTTCATATTCCCACTGGTAAATCTCCCAAACATTCTTGTGGATTAAGTGAAAAGCAATCAACACCACTAAAACAAGAACATACCAAAACATGTTTATCACCAGGTAGTTCTGAAATGTCATTACAGCCTGAGCTTGTTCGGTATGAAAATACAGAATCTGAATTCTTGCCAGAAAGTTCAAGTGTAAAATCTTGTAAGCATAAAGAAAAAAACAAACATCAGAAAGATTTTCATTTAGAGTTTGGTGAAAAATCAAATGCCAAAGTAAAAGATGAAGATCATAGCCCAACATTTGAAAATTCTGATTGCACACTGAAAAAAATGGACAAAGAGGGTAAAACATTAAAAAAGCATAAATTGAAACATAAAGAGAGGGAAAAGGAAAAGCATAAAAAAGAAATTGAAAGTGAAAAGGAAAAATACAAAAATAGAGATGGTGCTAAAGAGCTGCAGCGGAGTGTGGAATTTGATAGGGAATTTTGGAAAGAGAATTTTTTTAAAAGTGATGAAACTGAAGATCTATTTTTAAATATGGAGCACGAGTCCCTAACATTAGAAAAAAAATCTAAGTTGGAAAAAAACACAAAAGATGATAAGTCAACCAAGGAAAAGCATGTCTCCAAAGAGAGAAACTTAAAAGAAGAACGAGAAAAAATAAAAAAGGAAAGTGAGAAATCTTGTAGGGAGGAAAAAATAAAGGATTTAAAAGAAGAAAGAGAAAATGTGCCTATTGATAAAGAAACAGAACTCAGTTCTTTAAGTGCCAGTGAAGAATCTATGGGGTTACATTCAATAGAAAAGGAAATCGAAATTGAAAAGCATATAAAAGAAAGTAAGGAAAAACCTGAGAAACGATTTCAAATTAAAGAAAAGGACATTGAGAAAACTGAAAGAAGAAATTCTGAAAAAGAGAAAAGGATAAAACATGAGCATAAGTCAGAGAAAGACAAATTAGATCTTAGTGAATGTGACAGAATAAAAGAAAAAGATAAGTTATATTCACATCACACAGAGAAATGCCATAAAGAAGGCGAGAAAATAAAAAGTACTACTACTGTTAAAAAAACTGATGACAGAGAGAAAAATAGAGAAAAAGTGGATAGAAAACATGACAAAGAAAAACTTGAAAAAGAAAGGCATCCAGCAGAAAGCAAGGAAAAGCACTTGATGGAAAAGAAAAATAAACAATCAGATAATAGTGATTATATTAAATCAGAAAAAAATAAAAATAAAGACCGGGAGTTGGATAAAAAAGAAAAATCTAAAGATAAAGAAAGTGTTAATGTAGCTAATTCCAAACACTTCCAGGAAGAGAAGAAGTCAAGTATAGCAGATAATAGTAAAGCTCAACATGAAAAAAATCTCTCTCTCAAAGAAAAAATAAAAGATGAACCTTTGAAAACACCAGACGGGAAAGAAAAAGATAAAAAAGATAAAGATATAGACAGATACAAAGAACGAGACAAACACAAGGATAAAGTTCAACTAAATAGTTTACTCAAACTAAAATCTGAAACTGATAAGCCTAAACCTAAGTCATCACCAGCGTCAAAAGATACTAGACCTAAAGAAAAGAGGTTAGTGAATGATGATTTAATGCAGACAAGTTTTGAACGAATGCTAAGCCTTAAAGACCTAGAAATAGAGCAGTGGCACAAAAAGCACAAGGAGAAAATTAAGCAAAAAGAAAAGGAACGGTTGAGAAATCGTAATTGTTTAGAACTTAAAGGAAAGGATAAAGAAAAAACAAAGCATACCCCAGCTGAGTCCAAAAATAAAGAACTTACTAGATCAAAGAGTTCAGAGTTGAGTGACTCTTTTATCAAGGAGAAACAATCTAAAGATGCTGTAAGTAACAGATCACAGTCTATTGACACCAAAAATACGAATTTAGGCAAGCCATCCTTTGTTTCAGATAATAATTTAAACAGGTCTCCTAGATCAGAAAGTGAAAAGCTAGGACTCAGCTCCAGATCTGTATCCCTGATATCGGTTGCTAGCTCAGAAGATTCTTGCCACACCACAGTCACAACTCCAAGGCCTCCAGTTGAGTATGATTCTGACTTTATGTTAGAGGGTTCAGATTCCCAAATGTCCTTTTCCCAGTCACCTTTTTTGCCAGTTGCCAAGTCTCCTGCCCTACATGAAAGGGAATTGGATAACCTGACTGAATTGCCAGAGCGAATTAAACCACCTTATACTAACAGACTTCCAGCATCCCATCTCCGATCATCTTCTGTAGAAGATGTAAAACTAATTATAAATGAAGGAAGACCTGTAGAAGTTCGAAGATGTAGCATGCCATCTGTCATTTGTGAACATACAAAGTTCCAAACGATATCAGAAGAAAGCAATCAAGGTGGCTTAGTTGTGCCAAGAGAAATTTGTCCTTCTCCCAAACCTGAGGTATTCTCAGATGTGCCTGAAAAAGAACTTTCAAATGTATCTAACATACATTCCAGTTTTGCAGCATCTCCTACTAGATCTGTAAATAACAAATATATTTCAACTGATACGAATGTTATCAAGAGTACTGCTCCAATGGGTACTTTAATGGACAGTCCAGTGCATTTAGAATCATCTAACCAGGTTGGTGTGATCCAAAGTAAATCATGGGAGATGTCTGTTGATAGATTGGAGCCATTCAATAACAATGACTTTATCTGCCCCAATTCTAGTACACTTGATCAAGATTCTTCTGTGCCGAGTTTTTGTAGTTCTGAAAACACAATATTGAAAGAACAAAATAATGATTTTTTATCCCTACACCAGACTGAACTGCCAGGAAACTCTTGTACTCAGGATCCAGTGTCCTTTCTGCCTTCACAGCAACCTTGCTCATTCCACAGCCAGTCACTTTCAGATGCTGAATCTATTCCTAAACATATGTCTTTGTCATATGTTGGCAATCAAGAGCCAGGTATTTTACAACAAAAAAATGCAGTTCAAATTATCAGTTCTGTTTTAGATACTGATAGTGAATCTACAAAAGACATGGAAAATACTTTTGTCCTAACAGATGTTCAAAAGACAGATGCCTTTGTCCCAGGGTACTCTGAGAGTACTGTTCACGAACCATCACCAGGTAATTTTGAGAAGTTTGAGAAGGCTAATACTTTGCCTCTGTTACCATCAGAAAAGGACTTTAATGGAAGTGATGCTTCTTCCCAGCTTAATAATACACATTATACATTTAGCAAATTAATGTATAAGTCTTCCAGTGGCCATGAGGTTGACAATAGCAATTCTGATATTCAGGTTATTTTACATGAAAAAGAAAAACTAGAGAATTTGGTTTTAACTCATTTGAATAAGTGTGATTCTGATTTATGTGAAATGAGTGCAGGGATGCCAAAAGGAAACCTAAATGAACAAGATAATCCAAAACATTGTCCTGAGAGTGAAAAGTGTTTGCTTTCCCTTGAAGATGAAGAATCACAACAAAGCACTTTATCAAGTTTGGAAACTCATTCACAGCAGTCAGCTCAACCAGAAATCCACAAATATGGTCAGTTAGTTAAAATAGAATTAGAAGAAAATGTTGAGGATGATAAAACTGAAAACCAAATCCCTCAAAGGACGACTCGAAACAAAGCAAATGCCATGACAAGCCAAAGCAAACAGGTTCTTGCTAGCTGTACGCTGTTACCAGACAAAGACAGTGAATCTTCCCCTCCTAGAGCAAGAATAAGATTAACTGAAGAAGATGATCCTCAAATTCACCATCCTCGTAAAAGAAAAGTGTCACGTGTACCTCAGCCTGTGCAAGTAAATCCTTCTTTACTACAAGCTAAAGAGAAAACTCAGCAGTCTCTGGCAGCCATTGTAGATTCTCTGAAACTAGATGAGATTCAGCCATATAGCTCAGAAAGAGCAAATCCATATTTTGAATACTTGCACATAAGGAAAAAAATTGAAGAAAAGCGCAAATTATTGTGTAGTGTTATTCCTCAAGCTCCTCAGTATTATGATGAATATGTGACATTTAATGGATCGTATCTCCTTGATGGAAACCCCTTAAGCAAGATATGCATTCCCACAGTAAGTAAAATCACTTGATCAACATCTACAATAGAAATATATAAATATTATATTGTATTTAATCTTAATTCAAATATTGTTTCAAGATAGCATAGAGGAATTTTTCAGATATTCTGTGTAAACATTATACTAAGAAAATTTGAAATCTGGTTTTGCTCACACAGTATATTTAGGTTCACAAAGCTGCATTTTAGTAAGACATGCCTATCTTTTTTGAACAATAATGATATATACCATTTTATTTTTCCTTATTTGCTTTCTCTTTTGTCTCAGAAGGTTGTGTTCTTTCTTTGAAGGTTAATGTGTTTACATATGTTTTTGGTCCCATTCCTTCCTGTGTTCTCTGAAATTTCTCTTTATAAAACACACTTTGCTAGTGTACTTTTTCAGTCTTTCCCTCTCCATTAACCTTTACTGACCCAATCCAAACATGTTGGCCTCGTTTATTCTAGAGGGAAAGAAGTACCTTAACTGTTAATTCATTAGGTTCACCTCTTTCCTTTACTCTCACTCTTGGAGAATAGTTTATCATTTAGCCATTATGCATTGCTAGAGTTTACCAGAGTTCTAAATTGCCAGATTGTCTTTTTTTTTTTCCCCAAGCTTGATTTCTGTGACACTGATACTGTGATCATCTTGATCTTCATAAAATCCTCCCCTTTCTGGTCTTTCATTTGGTGCCTTCCTCTGGTTCATTTGCCTCATTGACTAGTCTTCTGTCTCATTGAATGACTCTTTTAGCCACCCTTTAACTATCAGAGTTCCCAAGGAATCAATCTTTAGTCACTGTTTTGTCAATGTAATCTTACCTATTTCTGTGGTGCATCCTTCTGCTATGTGCCAGTTCCAAAAACTTCATTGTTTAGTTCTATTACCTCTGTTTGCCTCCAGAATCAAAATATAGGTGCCTCATAATTATCACCTAGATGACATCTCACTTCTGTGTGACCGGTTTGTTGGGAAGAGCTATCAGGAGTAATACCTATAAGTATATGAAGGAAATAAAATGGGACAGAGCAAGAAGTTGAACTGAAATGTACTTGCAGTAGTGACCGCAACTGAACATACAGAAGCTCTGAAGTGGAATTGTATTTCTGATAGGTAGCCTACATTCAAGACAGGACAAGTCCTTGTACATTTCTGGAGAGGAACTTATGTGAGAGCTGTTAGCCACCAATACTCACAGGAACTGGGGGATGAGTCCCTCACTCCTGAATGGGAAGTCTAACTGTAAATCACAACCAAAAGAACAATTTACTTCTCCTTCAAACCTTTTTTCATTGATATTAGCACCAAAATAGGAACCAACAAATTGAATTGTTCTGCTTTAGTGCTTTCTCCAAAATCGGTCTTCTACCACTGCCTTGGCTTAAGGCTTTCATTTCTGTTTCCTTCTAATCTCTTCATACAGGAGCATTCTTTTTCATTGTTAAATTTATATCCTTTTAAAAACAATAAAAAGCCATTTCCCTTTTAATATCTCAGCTTTGATTATCTCACTTTCCATTGTATACACATTAAAAATTTATATTTAAGCATAGTGTAATAATTCATTCCCTACTCTGACCCCATTGTCTCCTCCAGCTTCATTTTCTCACTACTACTTCCAAACTTACCCAGTACTTAAACTGAACTCCTCTTCTGTGAAAACATCTTACTACTTGGTCCTTTTGTGGTGTTATTCCCTCTACCAAAAATGTTCTCTTCAGTCCCCCTTTCTGTCTTTCACATTGGCTGTTTTCTGGCTTTGATGTCACATCTGTGGGAGCATGATTGCTTGTGTCTTCCTGATGTCGCCCCTGTGATACGTAGTTAGCTATTTACATATCTGCCTTTGCCTCTGGCTATAGTCTGATTAAGGATTAGAATAGAATTGATATTTTGTAAAATGAGTTGCAAATTTATCTTCTACCCTGAATATATTGTTGCATTTCTGCTCCTGAATGTTCTACAGTATCCTTAAAATCAGTATGTCCAGGGCCCTCCCTGGTGGCACAGTGGATTAAGAAGCTAAAAGAAGCTAAAGCCACTTCAGCATGAGTTTGATCCCCATCCTGGAGGTGACCCACATATGTCTCTGGTGAATCATCTCACCATCCCTGCACCTCTGGCCTGTACCCCAGTTCTGTATGCATAAATAAATAAATCTTTTTTAAAAAAGTCAGTATGTCCAGGGGCCTCCCTGATTGTGCAGGGGTTAAAGACGCAGCACTGTCAAGCTTTGCCGCACACCACTGCTATATGAGTGCAATCCCCAGCTGGCCAGGGAGCTACCCCACATGGTACAGCAGACCTCTCCTGTCTCGCACAGTGCTTCCCTCAACAGTGTCAACAGTGTATTTCAGGGATCTACCTGTTCTATTCTGCATTCTGTCACTGGTGAATCCTCTCACTCCCTCTACCACTGACCTGTGCCCCAGTTCTTGTACACATAAATAATATATCTTTAAAAAAAAATCAGTGTGTCCAATAGTAAACTCACTTACCTTATCTCAGTTTTCTTATTCAAATGTGTTTTCTTTTTTTGATTTCTATGCTTCAGTTACTGTAGTTACTATATGATTTTTCAGCCTCTATCCCCATATCACAGCAGCCACTGTCATGTTGATTAATCTCACTTCCTTTTTTACCTTCTCTTTCTCTCTCCATATCTAGGCAAGGACCTCACAAGCTCCTTAAACTTTATTCATGTTTGTGAATATTGCCTAACCAAATATTCCAAATATGTATAGATAAATGACTCATAATAAACATTGTGCTAATGAATATCAGAAATGTGCAAAATGATATTGTGAACTGCTACCGTAGCTTCTAGTCTAATCTGTCAGTGTAGTTTTATATTGTTTGGGTTCCTTCTATAAAACATATCTCATTGTGTGACTATCCAGCTAAATATCTTCAGAAACTTCCAGTTTTCCATAGACCGCAGTGCCCATTCATTTTTCCTTATTTTTCTAGATTTGGCTATAGTTGCTGCCTTACTAGGCATGGTGGTCATCAGGCTTTCTGTGCTGTTTCACATCTTGTCTTTGCACATACTCCATCTTCCAAAACCTGAGAGATGAAAAAGAGGAAAGATGGTTCTTTAGTCCGATATCCATAGAATATACTTCATTATCAGTGCTTTTTTAATATTAAAAGACAATTATTTATATTGATCTGATCCTAATACATAGCATTGGTAGATTTGAAAGACTTGTAAATAGATTTATTGTCCTTTCAAATTCTTTCAGCAAATTAATTAATGACTCAAAGAATATAAAACTAATCATTTTTTGTTTCCTCCTTTTTGAAAGGTAAATGATCTAAACTGAAATATGTTGTATCATAACATGTGATTTGGATAACCCTAAAGAACACAAATTATAAACTAGAATTTGTATAAATTATTTCACTAAAAATACTTTCTGTACTAAATAGGTTAGATTGTCTTAGCACTATCTGCCTATTGAGAGATTGAGATAGCAATATGGCTATATAGTGTAACATATAATAATGTGTGTAAGTTATTTGTGCTTATGTGAACTATTTTATTCCTGCAAAAAGGATATAATGCATATTTAATTTCCTTGCCACAACTAAGGATGGAAAGCTTTGACCTTAATCGGTTGCATTAAATACTTTCTCAAAAGGGGCTATATAAGCAGAGCTAAGAACTATTTCTGGAACTAATAGGGAGTTTGTTTGTTTAATGAAAGTCACAGAGGTAGATACAGCATAATTAGTAGAGTAAGAGCTGATTTACAGTTAGCATGCACATGAGCTTGTCTAGGTTTCCCTAAAACCCAGCTTTTTGATCATGGAATAATTGACTTTGGTCTCTCTTTTCACATTTGTAAGACAATAATCCCTACTCTGTCAAAACAGGTTGAAATAGTATTTGCCGTAGCATATTAAAAACTCTAGTTCAGATGTCATACGTATTTAAGATGTTACTGTTACTTCATTCAGCTCAAACAACTCTAAGATTCAGATTTACTAGAACTAATATGCAAACACTTCCCACCTTTTGCTTTTAAAAGACTGTTTTTGAGTTACTGGGCAGAAATATGTTTAAAACTTAATTTCAGGGCCCTCCCTGGTGGTGCAGCAGGTTAAAGCACAGCACTAAGAAGCTTAAAGCCACGTCAGTATGAGTTCAATCCCCTCTGCGGAGGTGATCTGCATAGCGTGGCTGACCTCTCCTGACCCACCCACTGCTCCCCTCAACAGTGTACTTCGTCAGTAGGCATGTTCTGCTCCCCCTCTGTCTCTGGTGAATCCTCTCACCGCACCTGTGTCTCTGGCCTATACCCCAGTTCTGTATGCATAAATAAATAAATCTTAAAAAAAAAAAAACTTAATTTCAAAGATAATGTAGACCAAAACAATATAAATCACCTTGATAATTTTTGTACTTTCCAGTATGATTGTATTCATTTGTTTCCTGTCAGTTGCCATTTTATCAAATAATTTTTCTTCAGGTTTATGTAGAGAAACATTGGAAGTGTGAAACGTCTCCAAAGTTAGTTCACATGTTCTTCTAACAATATTTTTCTCATAATTTAACCAGAATGCTAAGTTTTTTCCAGAAGAAATTAAGGGAAGTAAAATAAAACTACAGGTCAAGTACCCAAAAATACAGTGAAACAAGAGGAACAAAAAAAAAAACTACAAAAAATTTCATTACTTAGTATCTATTATGGTCTCTGACACCAACACACAGGGATTCCAAAAGTGGGTGATAATAAGTATCCCTGGAAAATTGTAGGAGAGACTCCTGAAAATCACAGATATTGAAAGAATCTTCAAGTATGACTTACTTGAAGGTTGCTGAGGAAAGTATCACAGGAGATTTTTCTCAGGAAATTTCCGTATATTCCTTTAGTGATTTACATCTTCTATTTACATGTTGAGAATTCCTAGATTATATGTTATACCCATATTTCTCTCTTTGGCTTTATTCTTGCTAACTGAATAGCTTTACTTGGATTTCAGTATATCATTACTGAACTTACTCAAAAATCTGTTTTTCCCTTCTCCCCCCCCCTTATGATCTCTACTATCAGCCATTTAGGCCTCAAGCTAAAGAACCTCCAAGTCCTTTTTCACTGCTCCTTTTTGTCCTTAGTATCTATATCTTAGACCCCATCTCCTGTACTCCATCCTACATCTTACACCATTTTAACAGTGGTCTTCTTTTTTAATTCCCTAACATCTCGTACCCTTAGTATCTATTCTTCATACACCACAGTGAGCTGTAAGACCTTTTTAGTGGTTCCTCTAATAGGTATATCTATTCTGTACCTTGTTAATGAAATATCTTTGCTGGAGAATTGGGGTAGTTTCATGGTCAAATATGTTTAGGAAAGCACTAATCTAAATATAAGTGGCTTTCTTTACTGTGGAATCTCAGATCCAGAACCACAAAAATTTAATTGTGAGACACCTCTATAATTACATATATATTGTGTTTTCCAAATCTCATATCTTGGAACCATTTCTTATAAATCATCTTTATGGGCCCATTGTTCTGTGGGACACATTTTTTAAAAAAACATCAGTTTGCAGAATAGACAACAACCTTTAATTTTTTACTCCTGTTGATTCTCCATCCCCATATAATGCTGTTCCTTCCCTCAAATTTGATGTTCCAAGAACTTAGACTGCTTATAGTTGCCTCCAGACACCATATTTCTTACTTCATGCCTTTGATTGTACCATCCTCTCTTACAGTAGTTATGTCCCTTTTCTTTTTTCCCACAACTCACTTCTTTTTACTTTGTTCTTTCAGTTACCTCATTCCTTCTCAAGGAAGCTTTCTCTGACACCCCAGCCCCAAGAGTGGATATTCTTTTCTATGATGCTTGAAGGAGGCCTATATACCTTTGCAAAGCTAAAACAATAGCACCAAAATTTACAGCTCTTATTAAACTTAAGCAGTTTACAGAAGACAAAAATCAAATGTATAAAGACTGAAAACAAATTCACCAATAACCACCTGCTTATCTCACCTTGAGGAGGCACAAATAGGTTACTACACTATGAAAAACTTAGATACTTTTTCCTTTGTTTACAGTAATTCTTAGATAGTGGACAGAAGGGAAATACAGATACACCAAGGAATAGAAGGAGAATATTCAGGAATCACAGACAGTTATTGCCACACTTTGATATCTCTTTATTAACAGCACAGTATCTCCTGACAGTGTGAGTCAACTTCCTTAACCTCTGGCATCTACCAGAAAGAACAGTCTACTATAATGTTCAAATTAGAGATCAGCTAGCCACAGTTTTTTTTTGTTGTATGGATAAAGTAAATTATTATATAGTAAAACAAATTTGAAAACACAGATTTTTTTAGAAGTTGATTTTATCTTTTTTTATTTAAGACTTAATTCACTAAATGTAAAACTCGATATTTGATTTTTATCATGTCCGCAAAGAAACCTCCATTTACTGTACCTTCCGTTCAACTACTGTAACCCTTTTTTAAGATTTATTTATTTATGCATACTAAACTGGGTTACAGGTCAGAAGCAGGAGTTTGTGAGAAATCATCAGGGGGGTTGCAAGAAATCACCAGAAACAGTGGAGAGCAGAACAGGCAGATTGACCAAAATACATTGCTGAGAAGAGCTGTGGGTGAGACTGGAGAGGTCTGCTGTGCCATATGGGTAGCTCCCGGGCCTGTGATCTAACTCCTGCTGCAGTGGCTGCTGATAGCATCACAGTGTGAGAGTTAACGCCTTGTGCCACCAAGAAGGCCCAACTACAGTAATGTTAAAGACTATTCCACGCTTTTTTGATTTTGTATTCTCTCTCTCCCTACCTACGATCTACAACTAGTGTTCTAAATTGTTTCTAATTGTTATTATACTGTTTAACTCAGAGAGCACTTGAATTTGTTTTTAATGTGTTACATACTAAAAAGGTCTTATAGCCCATTGTTGTAAATACAATGTAGTAATTTTAATTTTTTTTTATTAGATTACACCACCTCCTTCATTGTCAGATCCACTTAAAGAGCTTTTTCGACAACAGGAAGTTGTAAGGATGAAACTACGTTTGCAACACAGTATTGAGAGGGTAAGAAATGTTTAAATTTATGCTAATGCTTAAAATATCTATTTCAATAATAAATTATAATGGCTTAAGTTTTTTATTAAGAATTTTTCTTAGAACCATTTTGAGAAATTGTTGGATTTTGTTACCTTCTGGTTCTACAATAGATGGAGAATTGCTAAACCTGTTTTAGGATAGCTTCTGTCATGCTGTAATTTATACAGGTGTGTGGATTCCAGTGCTTAGTCTTGGTATAAAATGATAGGGAAAAGTAACGTGACTCATTTTAAAGAAATTATTTAAAAAGTCATTTTATTGGGGCCCTCCCCTGGTGGCACAGTGAGTTAAAGCACAGCACTACTAAGCTAGCCAAAGCCACTTCAGCATGAATTTGATCTCCAACCTGGGAGGTGACCCACATGGTATGGCAGACTTCTCCTGTCTCGCCCACTGCTCCCCTCAGCATGTCATCATCTGCCTGTTCCCCACTCTGTCTCTGGTGAATTCTCCCATTGCTCCCGCACCTCCGGCTTATACCCCAGTTCTGTATGCAAATAAAGAAATCTTTTTTTAAAAAAATCAATTTATTTGGATTGACAAAAATTAACACCTTCTTAATCTTTGGGAAGCACAGAGGTTTTTGAAAATATGACATAAGCTATTATCCTTCTTCACAGATAAACATATATCCATCTGTAAACCTTGTATTCAGTGTATTTGAATCATATGTGATTGATTCCCTAGGGCAAGGATCTTAAACTTTTTTGTGTTATGAACCCTGAAAGATTCTGGTAAATATGAAACTTTTTCTCTGAATATTTTTAAATAGGTAGAACTAGTTTATAACATAGCAAAGAGAACACAAATAAAAGAAAAATGCACTGATAAAAATTGGCGTATGATGCATGCCAGTGGCACTTTGAGTGTAATAAAGAAGTTAAATGATATAACAGCAATTGCAACCAATAGACATATTTGAAATTACCTGATACTTATTTATGTGTGTCTCTATCCATATTTCAAAAGTCTTACACCCTTTAAGTTAAGAGTACTCATTTGAATGCAATTTGCAGAACTTTAACTCAAACAAAAATGACTCATTTCCTTCTAAATATGGACCAAATAATTTAAAATTTGGAAACTACTAGAAAACAACTTCATTGTCTGACCAAGTGAAGCAATGCTACTATCTGGTGGTTGTACAAATGAGTAATTGCAAAGTTGCTTGGTAGTTGGCCAGCTGTATTGTACAAGTGTGTGTACACACACACACAACCCTACCACTAAGTATCCTGTAGTAGCAGGTCTAACAACCATTGGAATTTTAAAGAAGGTATTAGTATAAAACTAAGGCAATAGACATAACAACTGTAATATAAATTGAAAATATGTGTAATTTTTCATTTCCAATGACAAAGTTGCAGATGGTTCTGATATTACTGTGATTTGTGCGAGTCAGAGAGAGGCTAGAATAAAGACAATTTTCTCCCATCCAAGTTCATAGTCAATCCTCTGCCTCACTTCATCCATAGGTTTCTCGGAGGATGAAGTCCTCAGGCTAAGGATCTGTCCAAGGGTACTTTTTCCATAGAAAATTACAGCATTTGAACATAATAGAAAATAGATGTACCAGCCACAATCCCTGCTCAATTAACTTAGAGCTGTATAGTTTCCCAATCTACCAACCCAAGGAGTAAGAGAAAGCAATACTTTGGGATTCACATAACCCATTCTTAAAAGATATTGAGAGTTTCTGTTCTAGATGTTCAAAAACACAAGATAAAAAATGATGATCTAAAAAAAATGATCTGAAGTTTAATATTGGAGCTCTCATTTTAGCAGCATTTCCTGTTAATTATTTTAGGGAGTAAGTATATCTTTTAAAGTTGCACCTTAAACTTGCACTTAAATCAATAAATGGAATGTATTAGACTTACCACTTTTTTTTATAATAGCTTATTTTTACATCATTTTGTGCCTTTTTTCCATCTTAGTTGTAATCTCTGTGGGCTTCCCATCACCAAATCATCCATATGCCATCATCATAGTCCCGTGCACTTCCCTTCCCCCTATTCTCCACTCCACCCCCATAAAATGTCTCTGGTATATAGCTGTTCATTATTATTACTTTCTCCCTGGTCCATTATATTCCTACTATGAGTGAAACCATCTGGTATTTTTCCTTTTCTTTCTGGCTTATTTCACTAAGCATGATCTTTTCCAGCTCTATCCATGTTGCTGCAAAAGGCATGAGTTTCTTTTTTGGTTGCTGAGTAATATTCCACTGTGTGTATGTATCCCATCTTTTTAATCCAGTCATCTACTTTTGGGCATTTGGGTTGATTCCATGTCTTTCCTATTGTAAATAAAGCAACAATAAGCATGGGGGTAAAAATGTCCTTTTGAATCAGTGTTTTTGTGTCATTTGGGAAGATACCTAGGAGTGGGATTGCTGAGTCATATGGAAGCTCCATTTTTTGCAGTTTGAGGAACCTCCAAACAGTTTTCCATAGTGGTTGTACTAGTTTGCATTCCCATCAGCAGTGCAGGAGAATTCACCAACATTTGTTGTTGCTAGTTGTTTTAAGATGTGCCATTTTCACTGGTGTGAGGTGGTATCTCATTGTAGTTTTAATTTGCATCTCCCTTACTACAAGTGATGTTGAACATTTTTTCATCTGCTTGTTGGTGATCTGCATTGCCTCTTTGCAAAAGTGTCCTTTTAGCTTTTCTGCCTATTTTTTTGATGGGGTTGTTTACTTCATTTTTGTTGTTTCATCAGTTCTTTGTATATCTTTGTGATCAACCCTTTATTGCTAATATTGTGTGAGAAAATTTTTTCCCAATCAGTGGGATGTCTGTTTTTTGTAATTAGACTTATCCCTGTTAAGTCTCATTTGTTACATTAAGAATTTATAAGATTAAATAGGACCAGGTGTTTGTCTTTTTACTAATTAAAAATACAGTAAAATTCTGGAGTAATGCATGTTTGGGAATAACATGAACTGCATTCTCCATCAGGAAAAAAATAAAGTTATTTGTCAATTAAGCACAAACTAGGAAACATGGAGGCAAAAGAAGTCCATCAAGGGCCTCCCTAGTGACCTAGCAATTAAGTCTCAGTGCTGTCACCATGCTATGACCTGTGTTCATCCCCAGCCAGGGAGCTGACCTACATAAGGTACAGCAGACCTCTCTTGTCTTCCCACTGCTTCCCTTAGTATATTTCAGTAAAGCTGCCTGTTCTACTCCCTACTCTGTCTCTGGTGAATCCATTCACCCATGCCCTGTACCCCAGTTCTTCTATGCCCCCAAAAAAATGTCCAGCCACATCCTTGTATTCTCTCTCCTAGCCAAGCTTTGCATACAAATTCAACAAAATGATGAGCATCAAATAACTAAGGGATTCTGGGAATCACTGCCTTTGTCTCTCAAGTTCTAATAGTCATGGGTCCCAGGTTTGGTCCCCATTGATGTTTATGCCAAAAAAGACAATTATCACCAGATGGCACAAACCTAATAACTAAGGTGAGGGTAGACTGGGATCTGTAGCCAGACCCTAGGAATTCTCAATCTGCTAAATGTTGAAGTTTGCCTAGATCATTTTTTTTACCTTATGATAGTGACTGCACATACATAAGTGGGAGTTTTGACTTTACATCACGTATTAAGGCAGGGTTGTCCTGTGATTGTCAAAGGTTTATAGGTAGTTAGCATCAGAGTACAGTGTTTGTTTCTGTGAAGATTCTTATTGTAAAAGAAGCTGCTACCACATGACATATTGCTTTACTCTATAAGAATAGCTGTTTTTCAAAAGGTATGATGGCAGCTGTCAGCTAGGATGTGAAAAAATTGGAACCTTCATACATTGCTGGTGGGAATGTAAAATGACAAAGCTGATAATGAAAATAGTTTGGTGTGACTTCTCAACAAGTTTAACATAGACTTATCATATAATCTGTTAGTTCTACTCCATGAGAAATAAAAACATACGTCCAAACAAAAGCTTGAGCATGACTGTTCACTGTGGCATTATTCATGATAACCCAAAAGTACAAACAACCCAAAGTTCATCAACTGAGAAATAAAATGTGTTACATATTCATAGATTGATGTGTTATTCAGCCATGAAAAGGAATGAACTATGAAATGTTCATAATAGGTCTATCCATATTAACAAAAATAGATTAGTTTTGCCAAGGTAAGAGTGGTAATGAGGGGCAGGGGGTTTGCTGAAGAGTGGAACAATGAAAGTGTTCTAGAGCTAGAAAGTAGTAATGGTTGAACATTTTGGTGAATGTACTAAAAACCACCATTGTGCACTTTAGAAGATATTGTTTTAAAGAGACTGCCAATTTTAGATAGAGAGTTTATTCTTTGAAAATACTTGAGTTCTCAGATTTCTCAGGCTTACTGTAAAGATAAAACTCAGATCCAGATTCTTTAGCACATTTTAAATGATTTTTTTTTATTTTAAAAGCATGTGGTTGATTATTTGACTTTTTTCCCCCTCAATTCTTTGTTCAACTAGGAAAAACTCATTGTATCTAATGAACAGGAAGTTCTACGAGTTCATTACAGGGCTGCAAGAACATTGGCAAATCAAACCCTGCCATTTAGCGCATGCACTGTTTTACTGGACGCGGAAGTATACAGCGTGCCACTGGATGCTCAGGTAACGTGTTAGAGTTGGTAATGCTCTGAAATACAACTGTGAGTGATTTTATAATCTACTTCCAAAAAAGAAACTTGAGTTAAGCAAACCAATAAGGCTCAAAGAAGAGATCTCAAAGAGGCTCAAACCAAAGTACTTCAAATTTCCTGGTCCTCTGTTTTCTAAAGTCCTCTAAACATTAGTTTTAAATGTAAAATCAGATAATCACAATGTAGTTATGTGTCATAGATGACGTACAGTTTGTTTTCAAAGTGGATGTTTATATATTAAATTCCAACTTTAAAGCAACTTGAAGTCACTGTAAGCTAGAAAACAATACAGGTAAATTAAGCCTAAGTTGCCTAAACTTTTATTTTGATCTTGAATGTTACTGAAATAGATTAAGACTATAAACACAGATAATGAAACATTATCACATAAAAAGGAGAAGAGTTTTAAATAAGACAAACTAGTAACACAATACAGTTTTTACTTTGTTCTCTCAACTATTTCTCTTCTATAAAGTAATTAAACTAGATCAGTAAATTTAAACCATGATATTCAAAATAAAGTAAAAGTATTCAGAAATATCTGAAGCACTGTTAATATGAACAATTTGGATCTTAAGAGAAAAGTAGTTGACTCTAAATAGATACTGGAGAGGCCACAGAGAGCCATTTCTAGAATTTCCAACTTCAAAGATTTTAAAAAGAATGAATGGTTGTTAACCGAAATGAATATTTCAGCTGTGTTACTAACAGTTGGACTAGATTATATGGTATCTTATGTTTTTCAGTTTCATGAAATTAGTGAGATAAACTTTTGAACAGTAGAAATGGAAGTCTGCAGTCAAGCTACAAAAAAAGTGTTTTTTAAACTTTCTAGTTCAGCATGACTGAATAACACCACCTGTTGGGTTTCCTCTTCTTCCCAAATTCATTAAAATTACAAAGACATGTAAAAATAAAAAAACAAAATTAGAGTTGCAAAGTAGACCAAAGCATTAAGATATTTATAATAAAAGACAGATAAAGACACATTGATAGTGATATTCAGTGGAGTTGAGAAATCCTTAACCCCAGATGAGTCATAGAAGACATCAAAAATAAGTAAATTTTCTGAGTGAACCCACAAAATGAGCCACAAATCAGAGAGTAAAGAGGATCAGGTCACAGTCAACCTGGTAATTAAAGAACAGGAGCAACTTAATCATTCTTTTGAGGAAAATATGTAGAATTATTATCTACCCTTTTTACATCTGCCTTTAGAGTAGATAGTCTTTTGTCTTAATAGCATGTTTATTTTGTATGAGAATACCTTCTGAGAAATGAATGAAAAAGAAAATAAATCTTTTCTTTGTTATGGACTAAGATCATCCATTAGCCTACTTTTATCATACCTCTTACTATTTAAAATAAGTAAACTTACAATGTTTTAAAAATTAAACAATATAATTTAAATTGCTTGAGGGCCAAGTAAATGTTTGTGGGGCTGTCTTATGCCTTATGTGGCTTCAGTAGCACTGGTAGTATAGTAGTGTAGCAGTAGTAGTAATAGTCACAATGAATGTCTATTGGATAGAGAGCTTCCTGTATGCCCAAGCATTTATTATGAAGGCTTTAGAGACTTAAACTGTCGAAACAAAATGAAAAGAGGTACTCTTACTCCATTTTACAGAGTAGAAAATTGAAATTGTATATAATTAAAGTTTACACAATATGCTACAAAGCTGAAATTTAAATATAACCTATCTTAATGCCAAAACTGGGATTCTTAAGAATTGATAAAAAATTTATTTATGAAGGACCTCCTGGTGTTACAAGGGGTTAAGTCTCAGCACTCTGAAGCTATCAGTAGATCACAGGCCAGGTTGCTGACCCACATGGCACAGCAGACCTCTTCTGACCTGTCCACTGCTTCTCTCAACATTGTATTTTGGTCAGCTCACCTATTCTGCTCCTTACTCTGTCTCTGATGAATCCTCTTAACCCCTACACCTCTGGCCTCACCCCACTTCTTGTATGCATAAATAAATAAATAAATCTTTTTTTTAAATATTTTTTCTTTATGAGTACTTCAGGGTATTGGTCCTGAGGAAAATGTTGACCTGTCTTCCTTCCGTCTTTATACTTTTTCTGTCCCTATATGTGCCAAATTTTAACATTAATTTTGAATATATGCTAACAAAGATGTCACAAAGCATAGTACTTCATACAACTTGCCATTTTGAGAAACATTCTTGACTCAACAAAGCAGCAGTAGGATTCTATTTAATGAGTTAGATCACCCTAAGACTCTAAGACACTTAGCACCCTAAGACTTACAGTAACTTATTTGTCTATTCAATATGTGGGGTAAAGTATTCATTTTATGTTTTGCCCTTATTTGAAAAACATTTCCATGTTCCTTAAAAGTTAGAGTAAAGCATAAAAATACAATGACATAAAGAGTTTTAAATGGCATACAGATTTTAAATTTTTAAATGGGTTAGTTTATAATATTGAACTGCTTTAATATTTTCTTTCAGTCTGATGACAGTAAAACTTCTGTGAGGGATCGCTTTAACGCAAGGCAATTCATGTCTTGGTTACAAGATGTGGATGATAAATTTGACAAATTAAAGGTATGTATTCTTAGAAGTGCAATTTAAAATGACTGCTTTCCCTTTTATAAACAAAAGCCGATGGTTAATAGAGAGGGATGGTTAAGGAACCTCACCAGTCTTGCCTGCTGCTCCCTTCAGCAGTGTACTTTGTCAGTTGGCCTGTTCTGTTCCCCACGCTGTCTCTGGTGAATCCTCTCACTGCCCCTGCACTTCTGGCCTATGCCCCAGTTCTGTATGCATAAATAAATAAATCTTAAAAAAAAAAAAAACTGTAGTATTTGACCCTTACATTGGACCACAGGAAAGGAAAATAAAGCCATTTTCAGGGCTGTAGTAATATAGAAGATGAAACTACCACAGAAAAAGCAGTTTCTAATATTATGTTTATTTCCCAATATACAAATCTGCTTATAGCTCTAACAGTGAAGATGTGTGAGAAAAATAAATGAAGGAATATGCTATGTTTCAAATACTAAGAAAACTGTATGGTTTGAAATACTGAGTCATTGCAAAAATCACTTAGATTTACACAGTTCTTTTAATAATTTGCAATTGCATTATTTGAAAGAACAGTTTTGAATTGAAAGTCTGTAAAATGGTTGTGAAGTTGGCATATAAATATAGACAGGGCAACACAGAAATAGATGTGTATTTCAAAAGAAAAAATTTTTAAAAAGAAACATGTATTTCAAAACTTTTTGTACCACTTATGTGTTTTATCTTAATCCATTAAAAAGCTATGGATGAATTGAATTTTTAAACAAAGCCTATTTATAGGATAATCAATTCTTCTCTTTTTAAAATAGACCTGTCTTTTAATGAGGCAACAACATGAAGCTGCAGCTTTAAATGCCGTCCAGAGATTAGAATGGCAACTCAAACTCCAGGAACTTGATCCTGCCACCTATAAATCTATCAGCATTTACGAAATCCAGGAGTTTTATGTTCCCCTTGTTGATGTTAACGATGACTTTGAATTGACTCCTATATAGCAGCCATTACTTCCTGATGGTATCGTCTTAAAATGATGAAGCTCAAAGAGTATTATATTATGGGAAACTGCCTTTTGGTGAAAATATTGCTACTATGCCTTTACAACTGTTAGTAAAGTTCAGCCGAAGTTGGTTATGTAGTAAACACTGTCATTTTATAAAAGATGAAAAGAATTATTTTGGATCTTAGATCCAAGTTGTTTCTAACTGAAAACTATTATTTATATTGGTGAAAGGTAACTTTGCTTTAAAGCATGTTAGCAGACTATGGTAGATATTTAACAAGTTGAGAATCTGCTAACAACGCTGGAAGTTGTTAGCACTCTGAATAAGAAGATAACCACTAGTATTCAAATCTCTTTCAAGTTTTATTAAAATATATCAGCAAACTGAAAGTTGCAATTCCTACCAAATAGTTTCTAATGTGGAAGAAAAACTTGGCACAAAATTTCTTCAGTTTATTATCTGTAAATTAATTGTACAGTTTTCTTTTCAAGAGTTTTAATATTGTCTTCCTTTTTAATAACTTATTTTATACATATTGTGCAGTTGTAAATCTTGTAATTAATACTCAAACTGTATACAAAGGAATTGGTAGTCAAACATGTACAAAGAAATAATTGTAAAACTGTTTTGTCTGATGTTTTCTTGGACCAAAGTTGTAGATTGTATGAAGTGTAGTAGTAGTGTGTTCAGGAAGCAAAACCTTTAAATAAGGCATGCATGTGTTTGAGTTAGCTTGTTTTCATCACCATATCTATAAAGATTGTGACTTAGTTATATTGCATGCTTTCTATAATTTAACTCTCTCCATAATTGATGCCTAACGTGGAGTGTAAGGTGTTTCATACTAGTCTCCTGGAATTGTGCCTGTGACCTACTATGTTGGACATATTATTTAGAATTAGTCATACAAAGAAACAGCTCTTTTTTCATCTCACAGTAGAGTCTTTTTCCCTCCCCCCCCCAAAAATGCCTTTGAATGAAAATTCTGAAATGTAAATGTCTATTTTAATACTCAACTATGAAAGAATCTGTGAATATATGTAAATATGTTTAATAAATTTTATTGGTCATGTTAAATCATTGTAAAACTTTTTTACATTGCTTAATGTTTTAAGCTTAATAACCTTTGCACTTTTAAAATAAAAACTTAGTACTCAAGTCAAAAAAGAGGTATTTGGTAGTCAAAATAAGTAAAAGGAACAGACATTCTGATCAATCTGCAACGTTTATGAAAAATTGATTAATATGTTGTATTTTTTTCTTGTATCATAATATAAAGTCTAATTTTCAGAATTTTATAATTAAAGTAAGATTTGGTATGCTGTTTTTAATAATTAGCCATGTGCTTAGAAAAAAGTCCATTGTCTGCTATAACATAGATTTAATAATCAGAAATATTTCAGATTTGAAGCCTGTGACTGGATTTATGAAACATTTTTGAAAGGAAAATTAGATTAGTATAAGATTGATCATCAGTGTATGAGGTAAAAATTTAGAAAACTCCACAATAGTTTCTTGAATTATATTACTGAAAGTTTTTTATTGTGATAGAGAAGAGTTCAAAGACTATATAAGGAATGAAGTGATTTAAATGCAACTTGCAAGCTGGAAATTATAGCCAATGGGAGAGAATGTAAAAATTGAAGCTTTTGAGTGCAAAGGTATATATTAAGCTTAGGGACTTTTGAATTTTTACACCAATTTATATTTTAATTCATACTGTACCTGGCATGCGCAATAAAGCAGCACTTGTTTAAAAAAAAAAAAAAACACAGTGCAAGGACTTTATTATAAAAATGGATGTGATATTCTTTAGAAATTTAGATAAGAGATAATTGGCCTTTTTTATTGGATAAATGGGGCCAAGAAAGGCAGGGTAGATTTTAAAGCACTGGTTTTGTTGAAGTTAGGTTTATTATTAAGGCTGGGAACATTAAGAACTAATAAAAGCAATACTTTTTAATATGAAAAAATTAATGCAAATTTTGTTTATTCTTTTGCCTAAAAATCAAAAACCAGATTATTGAGCATTGAAGCTACAGAAAATACTAGAAGGAGTAAGTTTGTACAGCATTTGTTCTGATAGTCTAACCAGAAAGAAAGTGGAGGGCGGGGCGGAAATCACTGTGTGACCAAACAGAACAAGCTGCAGAAGAAAAAAGCAAGCAATCAGGAATCTGGCATATTTTAGTCCAACTTTGTAGTACTAGCCACAGTTCTCACCTTCAAATGTACCTCAAGGAGCTGGAGCCTCTCTGCCATGATTCTGCTTCTGCAGATTTTACTTTCTAAAGTAATTCAAAGCTAATTGGATAGCTTAAAAAAAAAAAAAAGAATGCCTTCTCAATGAGAGTTTAAGGAGGTAAGGGCTTTTGATAGTAAGTACATTCTGAAGCTCTGAAATGCTAAGGGGAAGAACTTAGAATGAGGTATTTGCTTAAAAAGATGTAGAATTCTGAAAGAAATAAAGAATGGTTAGTCTAAACAGTGATTTTTTTTTAACTATTCAAATATCATGAACAAGATACTAAATTGTACCGAAGGGATTTGTATTTCTTTAAATCTTGTTCTAAATCATATCTGTTTAATAAATGACTAGTTGAATATTTGTGCATGTTATTTAATAAAGAGTTATATTTTTATAGAAAAAATAAGAGTGAAATGTGTGCTAAATGTGTTTTTTAATTTCTCATTCCTATATGACTAAGCCAAACACCAATGTTTACTTGGGCAAAATTGCAGAAATAGCCTTTCAAGTTCAAATCTATTCAGTAATGATATCCCAAAAGTGAATTTTAAGTATTAGACATGCTGCAAACTTCATAACTGTAAAAATCTCAAAGATTCCATGAAGTTCATCTTAATGGAACCTAAGAATTATACACTTCTAGGAATTGAGAGCGCTAAATATGCATTTCTCTTAATTATCCAAAAAGTTAGTGATATTTTACATTTTCTGCCATATCCTGACACAAAAGAACACAAAATTTAGGTAGAGGTAATTTATTATTTAAAAAATTTTAGTCTCTTGTTTTTACATATTACAGAAAGCATTTTCTTGATTTTTTTTTAAATACAACTTTTCAAACATTTAAGTCATAAACATTTTTACAAGAGATATTATTCTTTGGGACGTGTAATTGGTTAAAACATCTTGTAATTGATGATTTTCTTATTGGCTTTTTGGAACTGTGATCTCCTTTGTACCAAAAATGGAATTTTCTTTTTGGCTCCCACCAAGATGGTTACCCCAAAATATTTCTACTCAGGAAAACCAGGATCCACAGAAAAACTTGAAACAAAGTTTAAACAATTCCATTAATCAAAATGTCTAAAATTACAAGTATAAAAACAGTGAAAAACACATTTACATTGAATGGTTAAATATTAATCCAATGTATGCATAAATGCTATCCAATATATGCAAATAAATTTTTCACACGGGTAGTATCTCTACCTAAAAATAATCACAGTACTTTATTTTCATGGAGATTTTGTTTTTTTGGCTGGATTTGTTACTCAAATTTAAGATTAAATGGGAAATATTTAACCATTGATGGATTTTTAGGCATTTTTAAAAGATTTATCTAAATAACTGATGAGTAGGTTTTTAAAAATCTTTTGTTATTGATGTGTAGGAGTCAAATACAGCATATGTTCGCAGATTTAAAAAATTCCACCTATGTGACCATCACCCAGCTTAAAATGTTATCATTACCTTTCTCAGTTTTAAGTTGTGTAATTTATATCTAGTTAAAATTAACCATATTTTAGGTAGTTTGATAAGTCCAAGAAAATGCATACACTCTTGTTACCATCACCCAGTTCCAGCTATATTAAACATTTCCATCTCTTAGAAAGTGCCCTAGTGCCCCATTCAGTTAATACACCCTCGCGCGCAGGCAACCACTGTGTTGATTCCCATCATTGTGTATTTTAGTTGTACCTGTTCTTGGGCTTCATATAAATGGAATCAAAAAATATGTCCTATTTTGCATCTGCCTTTTTTCAATTTATGGTTTTGGAATTCATGTTGCATATCTCAGTACTCTGTTCTTTATTAACAAGTAGTATATTGTACAAACTTGTTTTATTCATTCTCCTGTTGGTAGACATTTGGATTGTTCCCAGCCTGGAGCTTTTGTGAATAAAACTGCTATGAATAAGCAAGTCATTTTTTGTGGACATAATTCATTTCTCTTGGGTACATGCCTTGAGACATAATTACTAAATCATAGGGTGTAAGTATGTGTTTAACTTTGTAGGAGCTGACAGTTCTCTAAAGTGGTTGCACTACTTCATACCACTACTTTATACCAGTACTAGCAACTTAGGAGGAAGCCCAGTTGCTCTGAATCATCCCAATTGTCAGTCTTTGGCGATTTTGGTGAATTACAGTAGTAAATGATTATGCTTTTAGTTCGCATTTCTTTAAAGAGGTTGAGCATAACTTCATATAATTATTACCCATCTGTAATTTTGTGAAATGTCCAGGTATTTTGCTTGTTTTTTATTGGATTCTTACTGGTTTGTAGGAATTCTTTATTCTAAATACTGCTCCTTTGTTAGGTACTTTTATTTGTCATGGAAGTTTTACCCACTTTTGTCACCTGTCTTCCCATTTTTTGTATGACTAGTTTCATCACTTCTTAATACTTCTACACTCATGACTTTATCAGAATGGTCAATGGGTTTCTGAATATCTCCCCCTACCTCATTTTCTCTTAATTATTCATATATCAAGGCCACATGGGTATATAACCATAGCTTTAATTTTCTTAGACAAACTACCTCTGTTACTTTTAATACCATTTGGTACTTAAATAAGCAATTTTAAAAACTCTTTCCTGAATTACCTATTATTTTCTGGACATTATATTACCTGGATTATGTATTATATTATGGATTATGTTCTCTATATTACCTCGATTACCTGCTCTTTATGTAGTTTCTCATGCTGTTTATTTCTTAAGCAAGGTATAGATAGATGATCTTGGATAGTAGCCCAGTACTGTAATTTACTGGATTTACTAGGGAATATGAATTTCTGAGCCAAGTCCTGTTTACATAGTTTCCAGTTCCTCTGCAGGTTTACAGTTATCCATGAACTCACAAGTGAGTACATGTGTTGAGCCAAGGACTGTTTTCATCTGAGGATTCACCCAGGACATGTGTTCTCAAATTTTTTGCATGCAGTACACCTATGGACTCTTAAAAGTACTTTGAAATATTTTGGTTTGTGACATACAGATATAGTAGAGATGGATTTTTTTAATATTTATTAATAGGCCCATTTTTGTTTTATCTTTATAAAGCTATATCTTTCCAAAAATGAAATTTAGAAAATGCACTTAAAATTATTTCAACAAATATTCTGGCCAAATAGAAGACAGCTATAATTTCACATTTGTTTCTACACTTAATGTGTTGGATCTTCATTTTTTGGTTTGATTTAGTTTGAAGAAAATCTGGTATTACATAAATACTGGGTATGGAAAAATAGCTCAATACATTTTCAGATAATTTTATGCATTATCAAGTAACATTGATTACTTGGAAAATACTGGCCCATTGAGTTATATGTGTCTTCTAAATGTTGACACATTTCACTATACAATACAAAAAGTTCACACTTGTTAATATCACTGACTTCATCAGAAATTTCTTTTAAATTTGAAGATGAGAAACTAGTAATGCACACTCGTTTTCCAAAATTCTAATTTTAACCTGAAAGCTTAAATATTACCAGTAACTGTTGTCCATCTTAGAGAGACACACTCACTTCAACGTTAGAGAATGATAACTGCCAAAGAGCCAAGTCTGGATACTTAAGACTGTTATTTTTCCAAGTTAAAGTATTTTGTGTTCCATCAAAAACGACAACAAAAACAGTTCAGCTGGCATCAAGTACTTTGCCTCCAATCACTTTACATAAGCATGTTACTCAAGGGTAGGCCTTCCCTGAAACATTCAAATAGGCTTTTCCCAAACTAATCAGAGCAGGCTTTTTTCATTGACCTATGGAGCTAGGGTCAATAGATCCCCCACATGCTTCAAAACCAAGTTTTAAATGTCCTCACCAGAAGTAACCTTTTAATCAAGAGAACTGGTTTCCTGACAGCAAACATCCATTGGTTATGTGGCTCACCTTACCACGTGAAATCCCCTCAACACCTCAGATCGCTATTCCACACTCTGCATTTTGACCTATATACTCTAGAATTTACAGCCTTGTAATTTCTCCATATGTATACAATTGAACTTGTTCTTTTCTTGTACCAATCTGATGTTAATTTGTTTGCTTGATTGACCAGCCTGAAAAGACCCTCAGAGAGGCAAAGAAAATATTCCCCTTCGCCCCTACGCAACAGAAGTGTACTATGTATGCATCCTCCCATCTTGTTACACAGAATATTGCAAAGATCAAGAGTTGAAAGATAAGATTTTTTTTTTTTTTTTAAACAAATAACCTGATCAGGGGCCCTCCCTGGTGGTGCAAAAGGGTAAAGCACAGCACTGCAAGTGAGCTGCAGCTGCTTCAGTGCTAGTTTGATCCCCAGGCACCAGAGGTGACCCACCCACATGCCTAGGCAGGCCTCTCCTGACAGCCCGCTGCTGCCCTCAGCAGTGTACTTCGTGGAGCCTGTTCTGCTCCCCACTCTGTCTCTGGTGAATTCTCTCACCTCCCCTGCAGCTCTGGCCTGTACCTCAGTTCTGTATGCATAAATAAATCTTAAAAAAAAAAATAGACATGGAACTGTCATTCAACCCAGTAATTCTACTCCTGGGCATCCAAAAAATTCAAAAGCTCTAATTCAAAAAGCAACTTGCACTTCCGTACTTATTGCAGCAGTATTTACTATAGCTAACCTATGGAAACAACCTAAATGCTCCAGAACACATGGGTGGATCAAGAAGATACAGAAGTTGGAGAAAGATAAATACCACTAATATGTGGAATGTAAAGAACTAATAGGTAAAGACAAGCTGAATTTTTTTTTTTAAAGATTTTATTTGTGCATACAGAACTGGGATACAGGCCAGAGATGTGGAGGGTGAGAGAATTCCTCAGAGACAGAGTGGAGTGCAGAACAGGCAGATCAACGAAATACACTGCTGAGGGGAGCAGCGGGCGGGTCAGGAGAGGTCTGCCACGCCATGTGGTCACCTCCGGGGCAGGCGGGAATCGAACTCATGAGGAAGCGGCTTTAGATTCTCAGTGCTGTGCTTTAACCCGCTGCGCCACCAGGGAGGGCCGACAAGCTGAATTTTTAACCCTTGATAGCTGACTACAGAATTGAGATACCAAGGAAGAGGGTGTTGAAGAGAGGAAAAAACAGGGAGGAGTAGAGGGGTTCATAATGGTCTGTGGTGGTGGAGTATGAGAGTTGGCAGTGGAAGCACCATGGTGGTAGATAAGGTAGTACCCTATTGTTAACTCAGTTAAGAAATAATTTCATAAAAACCTATAAGCCAGAGACACTCTATGGGGAGGGGGGTAGCAGAGAGGGGAATAATATCGAAACAGGGCTAGGAAGAGCGCACGAGGCTATAGTGAAGGCACATGGGTGAACTGTTGGCACGAAGCCCTCCATGGGGGGTGCAATGGAGATGAAAAAGCATACATGAAAAAACGGAGAATTTGTAAAAATAAAAAAATAATAATAAGGGCCTCCCTGATGGCACAAAGGGTTCAGTCGTAGCACTCTGAAACTAGCTCAGCTGCTGCATCACAAGTTCAATCCCCAGCCAGGGGTCTAGCCCACATGGCACACACTCTCTTGTCCTACACACTGTTCCCCTCAGCAATGTATTTCAGTGCCTGTTCTGCTCCCCGACTCCAATTCTGGTGAATCCCCTCACACCCCCACACCGCTGGCCCGTACCCCAAGTGTAAATTTAAAAAATAATAAAATATTTAGGGCCCATCCTGATGGCACAACGGGTTAGGATGAAGCACTGCAAGCTGGCCACAGCCACTTCAGTGCGAGTT